TATATCAAAATATAAATATATCGATAAAATCTAATATATAAAAATATAAAAGTAATAAATATCAATAAATGCTAATAATAATTAGCAAACAAAAAAAATATCGTAATTGAAAAATAATATATTTTGCTATATAGCAAAAAAATCAATAAATACTAGATATGGGGTCTTTGCCTTGAAAATCATGTTATGGGACATAGTAAATTATATGTTCCATAACGTGATTTTCAAGGCAAAGACCCCATATGTTATTGTTAATTTATATAGCTTTATTTTATATAGATTTGTTTGTTTTAATTTTAATGTAAAAAGTATTATAATATATACTAGTTAGATAAGAGTAAGCTAGATTGTTTACTTTTTAAAATAATAATTAAATTTAATATAATAATGTTTAAATTGGTCTTTGTTGTATAGTTAAGTAACTTGTATTATACTGCTTTTTGTATAGCTAAAAAGCTTTTTAGTTAAACTTATCTTAGATAAATAGTGTGTAGGTTTTTTAACTTTCTGTTATATTGTTATATTAGGCTATATAGTAAGAAGTAATAACTTCACCAAAATACTCTTATTTATCTTATACAGTATTTACTTTGTAATAGCTATAGTTTTAAAATTAGTATATAGAGTGAAGTTAATAGAAAAGTGACAAATTTTTTCTAAGTAAAAATTTTCTTGACTTTAAGTTTAAATATCTTGGTAATTATTTTATTAAATTTAATAAATATTTTTTTATTTTAATTTTATATAATTTTAAATTTAAAATAAAAAAAATTTTAACAAATTTGATTAATTAATTGTTAAGATATTTTAATTTTAAAATTAAAAAAATTTCACTAAAAACAATTTATCCCTTTTCTATTCACACTATATATTAACAATACGCTTACTACTATTGACTACTATATATATTACAAATATTTTTACTATACTTTACTACAATTTTATAAAAATTTTTAAAAATTTTTTTTTAAAATTGTAGTAAAAGTATAATAAATATATATATATATGTATAGTAATAACATACTGTAGTATATAGTCAATAATATATATATATAGTAATTATAGTAAAAAGTATAGTAAAACAGTAGTCAATAGTAGTAGGCGTATTGCTAACATATAGTAACTTTAAAACTATAGCTATATACTACAAAGTAACTATACAAATTTATAGCTAATTGCAATTATAGTATTAAAGTTGCTAAATTAGGCATTTCTGTAAAGTTGTTAAGCAGAAAAAACTTTTTTTTATATTGTAATTTAATAAATATGCTATATATATACTACGTATATACTGTGATTTAATTAATGGTCGTATAATTATTTTTTAGAAACGTTATTGGAAATTATTGTCGAGGTCACAAGAGATCAACATAATTTTAATCAATAAAATAATTTGACGTGTCTAATGAATTAGTTTGAGAGGGTAGATTATTAGACATACATTACAAACACTAACTACGTTATAACGCGATCGTGATGATCGGCAGGTGGTCAGTAGGGTGAGTGTATATATATCCAAGTATAATTATAACGCATTTAATGAGGTTAAATACAGTACTTTAATTTATATTTAATTAATTTATATAGTTATTACTTTAACTTTAAAATCAATAGTATTATATACAGCTTATTTTAATGAACGTTAATTAAACTTGTAGTATAATTCATTGGTAGTTTTAGGATTCATTAAAAAAGCGAAGACCTTTTAAACAAGTTCAAGCATATATTATAATCCTTTTGGTAATCGTAAATTGAAATTAAATAAGGAAGTGGTTTGTTCTTTTAGTGATTTTGTAATTAGTTGAAAAAGCAAAGAATAAGATCTTTGACGGTAGACACGATCATGTTATTTTTTTTTCTTTCTAATTTTATATTGAACAAAATTAAAAGGTTTTTCAAATGTAATGTGCAGTGAAAGGACCTGCAAATTTAAGATTTACATATATTAAAAAAGAAATGTATAAATACATATAAGCTTATATATTTTTTACATATGGTTTCATATTGGTTACATATGGTTATGGTGTCTTATTTTTTGAAAAAAAAAAGAACTTATAATGTTAAGAATTTTTTTGGAAAGTTAACAATAGAAAATTAAAAATTAATTTTCCAACACTACCCTATACCTAGCCTTTCCATTAAGCACGATCTTGATTCCCTCATTAACGTCTTTCATAGGGACTTTTTGAACCCAGGGCCTAACGTTATGCTTTACAGCAAATGCAAGCATGTCCTTAATATCTTGGCGTCCGCCAATCAACGAACCTTCGACTTTTACAAACCTCATGAAAGCGAAAACAGGAATCTGAAGCGGGGCTTCCGGAAGACCGACCAGAATAAGGGTTCCATGATTTTTGATGAAGTTCATATATTTGGACCAATCTGTATTTGGGTTGCAGGAAGTTGAGAGGATTATATCCTGTGAATGAGTGAATTTTTTAACATCATTTGGCTCCAAAATATTCAAGAAATGTGTAGCACCAAGTTTGATCGCCTCATCACGTTTTTCACTACTAATATCAATATTAATATCAATGTAAGAGAATTAAAAATTATAATTTGAGCCGATTTTCAAATTACAAACATCATACCTATGTGAGATTGCGGTAACTTCAGCACCCATTTTGGCAGCCCATTGAATTGCCAAATGACCTAAACCACCAACACCGGCGACACCAACTTTATTTCCAGGACCAACCTTGTGACGTTTTAACGGAGCGAAGGTAGACAAGCCTGCACAAAGCAATGGACTAGCCTCGGCGGAACTAATTTCTTCTGGAATATGAAAAACGAAGCCTGAATGTGCACGAATTTTATTGGCGTAACCGCCTTGAGCTTGATATTTAGTAGGAACACCTTCGGCATCTTTCCACATATCGTTATAGGTAAAAACCTTCTTTGCGCACAATTGATCGTAACCTGCAGTACACTATAGGTTAATATATGGAATTAGAAAACTGATCATCAAAATTGATCAACCTATAAGTTATATTATGGTAT